TGCTAGTTATTGACACACAACTGATACATTATATACTTCAAACCACTTAGATTAACGCCGGTAGTTAAATATCTTTAAATTTGGAATATTTCTCGGTTAACCCTTTCCTTACGCCAGCCCTCCCCACTGAAGGGTCGCCACTGAACGATGCAAAACGCAGCAAATTGTGCACCGTATTATATTTTACTTTTGTACCTAAAAAATACTTGACTCCTAAATACAACACAGGAAGAAACTTCTTACATTTTAAGAGCATATTTTAGTAGCATCAATCCAGTAATATATTTAAACCACTTCAATATTATCAAACGGTATAACGCTGACACCGGTTAAATACGGCTCTCGTACACATAGAGCATCGCGTGGATACCGGCTAAATACGGCTCTCGTACACATAGAGCATCACGTGGATACCGGCCAAATAACGGCTCTCGTACACATAGAGCATCGCGTGGATACCGGCTAAATACGGCTCTCGTACACATAGAGAATCGCGTGGATACCGGCTAAATACGACGTGCGTACTCACAGGGTATCGCGTGGATACAGGCTAAATGCGGCTCTCGTAGCTAAAGGGTTAATATATTAATTTTTAAAAGTGTTTCTCTCAATATTTAAGGCACATAATTTACAACGTTGCAATAATAGCTTCTTATTTTAACTTGACACATTATTTGTTTACATTATTACTGATATATTTGCTAGGGCAGTGCAAACAAACACGTTAAAAAAAAAATTCTGCTTAAAAATTGCAAATCGTTAGAAATCTGAATTAATTGCTTATGGACTTTTTAGTTAATCTACATTTTTGCCTAGATAGCCTGCAGAATAACTGATTCCTACACTTCGCTAACATATGCATAGTCATAAAACAAACTTTAAATGTAATTCTTTTTCTGCAAACGCATTTAAGCTCTAAAAGTAATTGTGAATTAAAGCAATAAATCGCTCAATTGAAAAGAATATTCTTTCAAGTGTAAAGAGAGAAAATTAATTCCTCCCTGACAGAAAATTCACTTAGTGGACGATCCCCTTATTATCGGGCAAGAGGATCATAGAACTGGTTCCGGAGGTGGCGAAACCCTCTGACACACCTACCCAGCCTTTCCACTTTAAGATCAATCTATCTCTACCTTTCTTACCTTGTTTAAACGCTCCCCCCTTTTGTTTGTTTTTCTCTTTCTTACTTATTCAACTCGCTTTAACCATAATGCCTCCTTCCACTAGATTTCTTCACTTGATTCATTATTCCAAACGTGAAAGGTTTTTGCCTTCTTTCAATCTCTGTACTATTGAGATTTTGTGTGCGATTTTAATTTAATTTTAGTTGAAAATTAAGTTGTGATTTGCTATTGCATATTTTACCATCCATTGAATTCCGTCTAAAGATTATTGAATTTTTATATAATTGGTAAATTCTGTTGATTTGTTGATACGGTTACTGTAAAAGGTTTTTTCCTTCTTTAATTCAGTGGATCACGGCGAAATATTTGATAAGATTTTGTGTAAAAAAAATTTTTTTTTTTTTAATTTAGTTTGATGAGCATGTTTTTCCATGAAATCCACCGAATCCCACGAATTCAACGGTAAGGGGACTCTAAACCCATGGTCCGTCTACCACTGAAGACTCACTTTTAAAATTTACTGTTTAGGACCAACGAAACAAAAAAATTTACCTTTGATGTGTTAGAATTTTTTATTCTAATTAAGAGGCTCCGCTCGCCAAGCCAGGCTTCTCATATATCGTTTTTTTCTTTCTTTTTTTTCCGCCTTCCTTAAACGTTGTATTTTTTTTTTTTTTTTTTTTTTTTTTTTTTTTTTTTTTTTTTTTTTTTTACAGAAGCGCAGAATTTTTTGTTTTCAAAATATACAATTATTGTAGTTTTATATAAGAAAATTTTTTTGACATGTTAGTTATAACGAAATGAACGAACCTGAATTAAAAATAATCGTCTGATCTTCATATTGCTCCTTATTAAGCGCGAGTTTATGAAATAAATAAAGATCTTGTGAGGGGAAAATACATTCTCTACAACAATGGGTAATTAGTCACTACTTAAAGCAAAAAAAGCTGGGGAGAAATAAAAAAAAAAGAATTTGCAATAACTTTCGAACCAATTGGAATTTGGAAGAAAAATCTGCTTAAAATTCACAAATAAAAATGGTTCTTTCAACGCGTCTAATTTTAACTCTGCAGTTGCATTTCAACGGGCTGCAGATTGACCAAACATGGTATTTTTTTCACCTAAAAGTTTAACACTTAATAAATCTCGAACTAATTGTCGAATCTTAAATTTCCCTATTCTCTCGTCTCTCTGTACTTTTTTCTACAAGCCTTCGTAATATCTATTTTATAAGTCTCATAGATTTTGTGCAGCAAAGCAAAATGTAACGTAAAGCAAAAAAGAAACCCAAAAAATTATGATAAAAAAGCGCTTTAAATCGCAATAACTTTCGAATAAATTTTAATTACGAAAAGAAACAGTGTTAAGTTAATAGATAAACATGGTTTTTTCAGCATGCAAAATTTCAACTCTGAAGTTGCATTCCGGAGGTCTGTGGTCTGGTGCTTATAACATGTTTTTTCCTACAAGTTTAACAGTTAATAATTCTTGAATGATAACTTTTTTTTTTACCCCATTGTATTCCCTTTACATTTATCTACCCATCTTAGACGTTTCAAGTTTCTAAGACATATAATTTATTTGCAATAAATGAAATGCAACATTAAGTTGTACACTCAAAGCAGCGGCGGCCCTTTCGATTTTTTAATATAGAAGGAAACTAAAGAAATACGAACTATGCATAAAGGAATTTTTAAATGAAAACTATATTATATAGGGTTCATAAGTAAACAATACATTAAATTAAATTATAAACTATGTCATTAGAATCGGGAAAATCTATTTAAACATTCCTGATATTTCAGGCAAGACTTCACAAAATCGCTTAAGAAGACTTAGTACAAGACAAAGACTTAGTATAAAACTTAAGTCTAAGGCAACAAAAAAAAAATTTTGCTTTTCAAAAACTGTTTTTGAAAAAAGTAATTGGAGCATGATATCGTGAGTCACTATGGATTATAATTTAACCAAAACCATGAGTCAAAAACTAGACTTAACAAAAGCTTTTAACTGGTTAAGCTATGCCATCGTAGACAGCTTATAAATTTAAAAAATCAACTTAGTTTGACAAGTCTGTCAAATCCATTATAATATGTTTTCAATTTTTGTCATGTTTTCTATTTTTCGTTCTTTTTCCCCAAAACACCAAACGATTCTGCAACGCCAAAATTGATCATTGACCGCTACGCCGCTGAAAAAACAGCAATTTATTTTCTACATATTCCTATTTAATTCAATACTTCAATTTTTTTTTATTTCTCTCTTTTTTTTCATTCAATTTTATCTACTATACCTTTTTTTTTTTTTTTTGGCAGACTGAAAAAAAAATTTATTTTTTTTTTTCTTCAGCATTCTTTTGCACGGATTGCACGTGACTGTCATTCTATACCATCTCGATATCCTTATGGGATCCCCGCCGGGGTAGACTTTAAAAAAAAAAAAAAAAACAAAAAAAACGAGAGAATTGAGAGTGTAGGCGCGATGGATGGCAGAAGTCAAAATGAAAAGAAGAAGAAAAAAAATGGATGAATTGTTATGGGTTTGTGTTGTGTGTTTCATCCCCCGCTGCGTTTTCGTTTAAAGCCAAAACGTTTTCGGGACACCCCGCGGACCTTCTTATCCATGGGCATCACTCATTTGTCTCTCATCCTCTGCCTTTTCCCACCTTCCCTCCGTTTTTTTATATATAAACACGTTCTCCCCATAGAAGGGATCGATTATAAATTGAGTCTAAAATAAACATAAATTTAGCAATCACGCAAACGATCTAATAACTTGCTTCAAAAAATTTATTAATGAATAAAAATAATTTGATATTAGGTAGTTTTAATAGTATCCTGAGCGTATGCCACGTGACAAATTCGCTTAAAAGAATAATTTTATCTCTTTCCATCAAGGTTACATCATGTTTAGATTAAATACGAGACAATAGATGTCATGAAAAATCGATGTTTGTTAATATCGCGATACCGATATTTTTTTCCCTACGATATGTCATGAATATCATGCTTGACTATAAATATCGAATTTACGACCACTAACGAGAATGTTAAGTATCGAATATAATAATATAGCGAAAGTTATGGATAAGTTAATATCAACGACAATTCTGTGAGTATGCTGTTCCACAGAGTTTTTTTTTTTTTTTTTTTCAATCTAGGTTTAAATTGTTTTAAATAATATTGGGGAAAAGAAAGGTCTTTCCTGTATTTGAATAGCGAAAATAAAAATAATAATAAAAAAACTGTCGAAGATCAAAATAACGTAAATCAGTACATATCTAAATTTTATAAATACAGGTATGTTCTAATTAAGAATGCTTCAGAATTCACATTTATTCTAATTAAGAATGCTTAAGAATTAAATCGTCTGGAGTTTTCTCCTTATAACCCTATAATTTAGAACTCTACAATCAATCAATTCGAAATTTAAGTCTCTGAAAGAAATTGAAATATTAATTATTTTTGCCAATCTAAACAAGACATTTTTTATTATATTTTTATTTCTTTAAATAAGTTAAAATAAAAAAATAGCATTACATCAACCAAATATTTAAACTGCACTATTTTTGGCCAGATTTTAACACAATTGAATTCTTTCTTACAATTCTTCTACTAAATTTTTATGCTTTTATCCTTTGTTGTTATTCAGTAATATCATTGAAAACTTATGCTTCAGTATTCTAAGAACAACATTGTCTATTTCAAAAACTTTTTTTGATGTATGAAGATTTACAATAAAAATCTGTTATAAATTCGTGTTCCAATTGGTCCTCAATTTTTTGAACTGTTAGCAAGAAAGCTAACGCAATTATTAAAATTTATTAGAATGAATTATGAAAAGAGTTTTTTAAGTTCATGTTCTTTTTGTTTTCAGTTACGGTGGCAGTTCTCCAGCTTTATCAGCGACAACTCAGGGTCATACATTCTTGAGGCCAGACACACCGAACAACAACAGTAGTGTTAACAGTAAGTAAAATTATATGAACCATGAAATAATATTTCTCAAATAATGCTTGTGCAATTTAACTATAGATACATAGGGGTAATTTCTGACCAGATGATGAATAAGTTTCTTCAAAATCAGATTTACGATTATAATTAAAAAATGTTTCAGTGTTGCGACATTCTGATGCAATTTATTACTGAATTTTTTTGTCACCTGGTCAAAGAATTGGCGTAATAATATCTGAACTGACAAACTTGCTTCGTAAATAATAATTAGCTAGTGTAGTTTTAACTAAAGTTTTTAAAGCCGTTTAAATAATTTGACTCAAATTAGTTATTTGATAATAGCATTTCAATTCTAAAAATTGGCCGGGATAGCCTGGTTGGCAGAGCGCTTGACTCGCATTCGTGAGAACGGGAGTTTGAATCCAGCCGGCTGAAGACTTCCCGTGTAGCAAATGGTTATTGGGTGCACATTAAATCTGTCGAGTCACAAAGTCCTCCATGTTCACATAACAAATTATACCTCTGGTGGTGCTGAATTGGAGACTGATCGTTCTCTGGTTCAGGTCAAAATTACGAATCTGTGGATGAATGGGTTCTCCCTATGAACGGGTGTGACGTATGGGTGTTGCAGAAGTTGAATTCTTGCCCATAGATGGCGCCGCTGGAAAACAAAACAATCGCACCCTTTACCTTAATAGCCTACAACAGTTATAAAAATTTGCTATGATTCGATCTTTATCAACCCAACCAACCCTTTCTTAGGGTATGATATTAACCTTTATTAAACATAAGTCGTTCTAAAATGGTGGAATTAAATTTGGTGTTCAGGGAATTGAGGTTCCGTGATGCCTTGGAGATGAGTCGCAAAATCTATTTGGAAATTAATTCTTTTTATTTTCGTTCTTTCCTATCTTTTTTACTTTTTATTTGAACAATTTTTGTGTTAAAACATCAGAACGGGAAGATTGGCGCATAGTGGTAATGTGGACACATTCTCATTTATATTAATTCAAAATATATTAATTCATTTACGATAACTCAATTATTTTTAAAAAAAATCTGTAGAAAAAAAAACACTTTTGAAAACTAAGCATAAAATAAATGTAACATTTTGTATAAACAAATTTATTTTGTGATGTATTTTTCTCCGTTTCCACTTTGAAAAGCTTTTCGTTCGTGAATTCGCGTTCAGAATAAAAATATTTCGCAGTCAATCAGAAATAAAAGTTAAATAAATAAAACGGTTAAAGTTAACTCCCAAACAATTTCTAAAAATTGCGTCAATGGGATATTTCGAGTGTCATTATTTTTTGACAAGATAATCTTCAAAGCTCCTCATTTTAACAGAAAAATATAAGTGATCCATTTATCGCGTTAAAAAAATAAAAAACTATTTTTGAACCACAAGTTTTTTTTTTCGTTGCTATATTTGCCAACAAACAAATTGTAAATTCTTCAAGCGACAAAAAGAACTTCTGGCGAAAAAATTTTCACACCAGATTATATTTCCCATACACGTCCTTGTGTGTAGCATAAAAAAATAAATAAGATGAAATAACTGTAACGCAACTGTCAACCCTAGTTTTGTAGATGAGTGGACATTTTGTTCCATCCAATTTTTATTTTGAAGTTTTTTTCGCTTTTTTCTTTTAATGTATTGGAACTTTTTTTTTCTTCCCGCCAGTTATCATAACCCTGACTAAACTGACCTGTCAGTATATTATTTTATCACTCGTTTGGATGCCTCTGCACGCGCAGACGATCTTTTACAGAATTTTCATTGAGACATTTTTATTCTTTGCTTCGGTTTTAAAGTGAAGCGAAAAGACTTGGAGTTCGTGACTAGAATTTTAATCTCATTCATGTTTAGAGAGTTTCTTATTATTGTTCATTCGATTTTCTTTTTCTTTCAATCTCCTTCGGCCACTCTACTTATTGAGGAATAGCATGCTTCATGCTATGTTTCTTTTTTTGACGTCAGTACCTAACAGTGTTAAATATACTAGAGAGTTTCATATGTATAACTTTATGAAAATATCATGTTCCACACAGTAATGCAATTTAACTATTTATGATTTCTTAAATTTGTTATAGGATATGGATTGGAACTTAAAGGAATCTGCTTATTTATTTTGGAAAACGACACGCAATTTTTCGATCAAAGCGAAAAAAAAAAAAAAAAAAACTAATATTTTGAATCGTTTGATCCATATCTCAAATAATAATTTCTTTTTCACTGAATAAAAATATATCCTTTTGTTACAGACACATTTTGTTAACAGACACTATTCTGTTTCCAAAATTAATTGTTCAAAAGTTCGGTGAAAATTATTAAAGGTGGCTATTATTAAGTAGGGTTTCATACGTTTAACAACTGGTGGTATTACCTATAAGAGGGTAGTATTAAAAATTTGAACTATAGCATATTTTAATTCTCTATTTTACACTATAGCAGGAAATAAAAACTAATAAAATTCGCTTGCTACAAGTCTTAAACATTGTAAAATGTGCTGACGAAATTAAAACAAACATTGATATTTTAATAAACCAAAACTCTGTCATTCCATTCCAGTGGAATCTTAAGAGAAATTCCGACCAGCATTTACTACCATTATTAAACAATTTTAAGACCCGTGCAAAACCATGGTAGTATTTCGTTACAACCATGAACGCTAAACTTCTGTATTTCAGCTTTCTTCAGAGGGTGACTGAAACGACATTAAATCTGAGGAATAAATAAATACCTTGTAAAAGTTAATAAATTTTTGATGATGAGAGTATCATACAAAAAGACACAACTACAGAATTTTTACTAAATATTTGTTAGCGTTAAAGCTCAAAAACCACTGAGGTAATCCGCTAGTGCGGAATCAAGTATCCCGCACTTTACCTTGGTAAAGTGCGGTACTAAAGGTTTCTGTATCGTTAAAGTACAAAAGTTTGTTTCTCTTATTCTAAAAAGTAATTCGTTAATTGTATCTATTGACATGATTCTTTAGATATTAAAAAATAAAAATAAAATGATATTATGTTATTTTATTTGACTAATAATATTTTAAATCGTTTGATGTTTCGTATAATGCTTTTTAAAGTAATCGATGATTGATTTTACCAACTAATGTGTTACTCATAGTAACATGTTTTCTTAGATAGCGAAAAATTAATTTAAGCGTACAGAAAAGTTGTTTTTGATTTTAAAAAATCTAATTTTCAATTTAACAAACCACACTGTTAAACTACATTAGCTAGATAATCTATAGTCCCGCAGTGGACGACCGATCGTTAATACACGGTTCCCAGTAGATCACCGAAGTCAAACATTACTGGATGCGGTTAGTGTGTGGCGGATGACCACTTTAATCAGCTTGTGAAGGGACCTAGGGTGTGCGGTATCGGTTTTTGTAAAACTGTTCCACCATTAAATGCCCGACTTCGCCTCGCAGGTCATTGAACTACCATAAGCAGCGGAGGGCTCCGCATTGGATCAAAATTGTAATTGTATGGCTTCGGATCATCTTCAAGGATGTTTTCCAGGCCGTCGCCACTAGTCCATTGTAAGCCGTGATGGCTCACAGTATAGAACGTTCGCCTTCCAATAAGGTGAACCGGATTCGAATCCCAGCGATGGCTGGTCGATACGAACTCCGCATCCGGCTTGCATCGACCACAATACTGAAGTAAAATATTCACCGTGGTAGACGATGGATGCCGTGAGGCTAAACTTGAGAGGTTTTCCTCTCCATTTAACGCAAATGTGGATTAGTTCCATCAAAAAAGTCCTCCACGAAGGCAAATTTCTTCCAATACTTGATTCAAGGCCAGGATAGCCTGGTGGGTAGAGCACTGGGCCCATGTCCAAGAGTTCGTGGGTTCGATCCCCGCCTGCCGAAGTTTCCCCCGTGTAGTAAATGGTGACTGATGCACGTTAAATCTGTCGAGTCGCAAAGTCCTCCTCCATGTTCCCATAACAAATCAATACCTCTGGTGGTACTGATCCAGGAGTTTCCTTGTCTTCTGGATTGGTTCAAAATTACAAGGCTACAAAGTTGAACATTAGTAGTCTGAAACTCAAGAAATTGGGCCGGCTGTTCAACGACGGATATAAAATATAAAATAAAATACTTGATTCAGGAATTCCGTTGTGTTCTGGATTGGGGTCAAATTTACAAGGCTGCGGAATTGAATTTTGATGTCAGATGATGATGATTTAAACTCAGAATTGGGCCGGCTTTTCAACGACGGTTATAAAATAAAATAAAATTACAACTATTGAAATTTTATTCGAATAAAATTAGTGTTTGTCGAATGTTGCTGTTACAGAGTATCTTCTAAACTCGATAGAAGTGACTTCAATACATTGTCTCCCTTAGGCTACGCCAGCTTCAAAAGGCTGACTCCAATCACCACTACAACTACTTGTGTCCCCGTGAATGAATTTAAGCCTCTATGGGACCCCAGGGACATTTCCGAACAAGTCGCTAAAATTCGAATGGACAGAAGGAAAATTAATCTCCGGGAGAAATTGCAGGAAGGTAAATAAAACCTTACTTTTCACCCTCACCTTCTTAATGTTTATCCCTGAATTTCACGAAACATAGTGATCTTTTTTATTTCATGTAGGAACGTATGGTCAGATATACAGTGCCATTATAAGGGATGATGATATGCTAGTGCCGCACAGCTTACCAGCTTTTGTCAAAACTGTTACAGGTAATTGTTCTTTTTCACTTAGTTATAATGTTATGTAAGCACTGAATGAGATGTTTTAGATTTGTGAATTTTTTACTGGCAAGAGAGTATGAACAATGTAAACCTAATTCTTTTTATCAGGAAAAAACCCCTCACCAAGTTATTAAATTTTGTGAGAAATTACATTTTAAAGAAATGAAGTAGAATGACTTTTTATTGCTTTCAATGGTATAAGTAAAAAAGCTTTTGTTGGAGTCAAGAACGATAGAAAAAAAGTATGATAATGTAATATTTAAACAGCCCCTCAAACCTAGTTTATAACACTATTTTATTTCTTTACCGTAAATGCGTAATGTTGTTTAAATTTAGTATAGTATAGAGGACTCGGATTTTTTTTTTTTTTTTTNTATATTTATATATATATATATATATATATAATAAAAAGAGAAATCAAAATTCATAAAAAAAAACGAGCTTAAAACTACAATTTCAAAGGAAAATTGCGCAATGCAGCAGTAATTCCACAAGAAAATTGAAACTAATAGCAAATTTTAAACAAAGAAGACAACCATGAGAAATATAATATGCTCTCTCGATAGAAAAGGTTTTTTACTATAATGACTTCCGGGGCTGGTACCCCCTGACGATGTCAACTTCGGTTGTCATTATTATATTTTTCATGGTTTTCTTTTTGTTTAAAATTTGCTACTGTTTAAAAAAAACTATGTTTTCAAAATTAACAACTGGCGTTTTCTTTTGTCGTAATTAACCAACGCCTGTGGAAATATAGCAGAGATAGCATTGATGTCCATTTTCAGTCAGCGACATCTGTTGACGAACGTCGTAACGAGTTTTGAATCGTTTCATTTTACGTTTTCTAAGCAGAACGCTACAAATAGTATGAATACTGTAGTGTAACTACCACTACAATAATAAAATTCCAATTCACTAATATATAACACAATTCTATCTGTAGCTACCTCTTGATCGATGACGGTTGACATTGTCGGTAGCCTAGCTCCACAATCTGATTTCGATCACGTGATGTGAACATACCTCGATAGTAACGCCCCACTTCGATTTGAACACGCATATGTTAATGGATGAAACATGTTGAACAGTTGACTTGCAATATGTGACTGCGATATTAACCCCCTCGCACTGTTGCCACTTTGTCTCGACCGCGTACACAACCGTGAATTTAATGCAGCTCTCACGTACAGCGCTCGAAGTCCGGTGAACTTAATACAGCTCTCACCTCCAGCACTCAAAATCCAGTGAACTTAATACAGCTCTCCCGATCTTTCGCAAAACGGCAATGAAACAACTAGTTATATCCATTCATATAATTCTATCCCAGATAAAATTCTGGTGGAAGAGTAATGTAGTGTAACTACCACTACACTAATACAATTCTTATTCATTTGTATATTAGACGCGTTAATTCGTTTCTATCTAGGGGTACTTTTTGGTGGATGAAGGTTGACATCGTAAGCATTCTAGTCCCCACGATATATATTTATATATAAATTACCAAAAAATGTGTGCCCGTAACAATTTATGCACGAAAAAAATGAAAACTTTTCTTTCACTCTAACGATCTTTTTATGATGCACACATAAACAATAAAAACGAAAATAGCGGATGGGTCACAAAAGATTTAATAGAGAAATAAAAGATCCAGCGATGGAGAAAAAAATAATATTTTTCCCTGTGGAAAAATAATAATTTTTCAATCTATGTACACTTTTCAGATCAAGCAAATTCCGTTCAAACCTCCCTGTTCATCAAAGAAGGAATGAAAATGCTGGGTTTAAAACACGAATTCATCTTGCCTCTGATTGGTCTCTGTACTGAAGATCCTTTGCATCCAATGCTCGTTTATCCTTATACCAACAAGGGAAATCTCAAACTCTTCCTCCAAAAATGCTCTGGAGACCACTGCCATGTGAGTGCTTCTCTCTTTCTATAGATCTTTTATTTTGCATTCGATTCTTGAAAGAAAGAAAAAATTCCTTTTTTTGATTTTTTTTTCTTTTTGAAAAAGCATGGGAATAACATTTATGACGTAGAAAACGACTTTTCTGATATAAATCAAGGGATACCTTACATCCACCTAATTTTCTTACATTGTATTTCAGAAAAGATTTCAGTACTTGAATGACAGTGTAAAATAATTAATGAGAAGTACGCATTATTCATGTGAATGGTTAAAAAGTGGCTTCTCAATCCTTGATTTCAAGCTATAAGTAATATTTAGTTTTATTCCTACAGGTTTTCAAATAGTAATAATAATTAGAATAAATAAAAAATGTGAAAAGCTAATTCAAAAAAAAAAAAAAAAAAATTTTTTTTCCAGCTTCAGTTCTAAGCAATTTATGTAAATTAGTTATCTAAAAACCAAATCTTGTTATTTACATTTAAAAAAATTTATATTTATTACCTGAATTCATAGCAAAACAAAGTATAAATAAAGTTAAAACCTAATAAATGATAAAACAGTTTCACAAATTTTAGCTTAATGTGCATTTGTAGATTTTCAAAAATAATGTGCAAGACTAAATTTTTAAGACTAAATTCTCAAATTATGAGCTATTGATGTAAAATTTAATTATCTGTTTAATTTATACTGAATCATTTTTTCAGTTATAAATTGTTATCTAACAATTATTAACAAATTGTGTAAAATTCAAAAACTAATTTAATTATATTTTTGGTTGAAAATGTAAAAGATTTTTTTTTTTAATTCTTCACAAGATTAAAGATAATTCAAGATTTTTCAAGGGACTGCTATATTAATAATTGCTTTCTAGCTATATTTACTTTATGGAAACGTTTGCAAAACTTGTGATTAAAGCAGTTAGTGTGCATAATTATTTTAAAATAATTATAACTTGAAATTAAATTTAATTACTATCTTTGGAAGGATATTTTGTTATTAGTTAATAAATCTTAGGTCTAGAGAAGGATATAATGGATTAGCTATTGCCTTTTAATAATTATTTTTATATAGATAGTTTTATTGTCTCATTTAATATTTAACAATCAGTAGTGTTTCACTATAGGAAGTGTTGCCATGAATGATTTTTGATGTAGGGAGGGAAGAAATAAATGCAAAAAAAAAAAAAAAAAAANAAAAAAAAAAAAAAAAAAAAAAAAAAAAAAAAAAAAAAAAAAAAAAAAAAAGGAAGGAAATAGATAAAACACTGAATCAGTCAAAAAGTTTTTATCCTATAATGCATAAGTTAAGGACCATAATATTTTTTTTCATTTGGTTGTCATTGAATTTTTGGATCTTGACAGATCATCACTAATATTTTATTTGACAAACTTATTGATGCAAAATTGAACTTTAATCTTGTCAAATACTTTTGACCTTTAATTGAATAAAAAATTTTAATTTTAAAAATTTTTTATATCACTTCTTTTCACATTTTGTTTCAGGCTTTGATGACAATAGATTTAGTATCGATGGCCATACAGATTGTTAAAGCCATAGAATATCTACACGAGAGAGGCATTATTCACAGGGATATAGCAACAAGGAATTGTGTGTAAGTATAGATTTTCTATCAACAACATCATTTTTATGAACATATGGTTAAAATATTTATTGTAAATTGGAACTTGCGACTCTTATTGAGCTGAATAGCAGTTTTTACGATAAAATCGATCGCAAAAAAAACTTCTCAATCACAGGACACTTGGGATTGCGTAATTTTCCAGTCCAAAAATCAGTTTAATTTTTTGGTATTAAAATTAAGAAATGAGAAGCTTTGTACACTATTTAGTATACTGTTGTTCACTCAGTTCATAGTGGTTACAACTATATCTACAAGGTTTGGTTAGGAGTATATGAATGAACACAATTTACTTAATGAAACTGAAAAGGCTATTATTATATTGTAACTTATATACAATTGATTTCGTAAAAAAAAGGAAACGTTAGACTATGACGTTTAATTTGTAGTGTACACATCTTTACAGGTAGGTACTATCTTTAAAAAATAACGAAGAAATTCAGAATAATTAGTGACATTGGGTGTAATCAAACTTTTTGTTCAGGGCACTGTGTTAAAATTATTTGTATATTTGGACTAAAGTTTGAAAATAGAGGCCCAAATATGTGTGCTTCAAATCACACATTCCTAATCATCCCGAGAGATTTTTATTGGTTGAGTAGCCACTGTTAGTAAAATTAGTTAATTTAGAACAACTTATAACTTCATATCTTTTAAAAAATATTTTATTGAAAAGTATTATAATTCTTAAGTTGAGATCTTTTATATCCAACAGAATTAAAATTTACTGAAGTAATTTGTTTTATTTTCGCTTTAATAGGGTAACAGAGAGACTTCGCATCAAATTGACGGACAACGCACTTGCGAGAGATCTGTTTCCAGACGATTACCATTGCCTCTGTGACAGTGAGAACAGACCCATCAAATGGCTTTCCATTGAGAGCATCGTCAAGAACGAATACACATACTCCACGGATGTGGTCAGTAAAGACTTGTTTTCTTTCATATTAACAGAATTAAGAGAAGAATTTTTAATAAAAAGAATTTTTTTTGCAAATATAATTGTGATACGAAGTTCAGTTTTCTATTTATATTTTTACTATAAATTTGTTCCAATCAGTAATGTTGCTAATGGTACCAAAAAAAAAGCATGATAAAACAGTGCCAATCAACAGTAAATATGATGGATTAAATCAGGGGTTACAAACTTTTAAAACTTATAACAACTCAAAATACTATATAGAATATATTATGGTTATGAATTTCGAAAAGATTGTGATTAATTTAATATACATATTTTTTTGTCTTATTGAACAGTGAGGAAAAAATAAACAGACCAACTTGAATAACTTTTGATCTAATGTCAGAACTTAACGATCTAGGATTCAATCTTAATGGTTCCAGGAATAGACTTTAAATATTCTAATTAAATATTGCAAACGATGTTTTAAATTACGAAATCAGACACAGAAACATACTTTAAAACATACTAATAAAATTTTTTTTTTAAGGATTCGGATTTCTGACCTTCAAAATATAGGGGCTAGCTGCAATCTGCTAAATATGGCCCCCATAGTTTAGTCAGGAAAATGCTAATTTTACTTTTTGCGGATTTCACCGTATCTCGAGAATTTTTTAAACAAATCAAAAGATTTTTGCACACAATTATAAATTTCGTTTATTCAAAGATAATTCCGTGCAAAAATTAACTTTTGTTAAATATTTATTTAATAACAGTCAAAACAATTTCAAATTTCAAGGTAGATCATTTTTTACGTCATTTTAAAGAATGTAATTTTGCTGCCAAAATAATACAAAATTTGGCGAAATAGGTCATATAGTTCCAGAGAAATGGAATTTTAAAAAAGTTGTATATTTAAAATTCAATTTCTCATTAACTATTTCGTATTTTGACTTATAAAGTTACATTCTTTATAACATGAAGTAAAAAACTGTATATATACCTTACAGTTAAAAAAATTCAAATGTTATTAAAAAAATAATAATATTTACAAAGCAAATTTTAACATGCAAATTATCTTTTGGTAAACAAAATTTTTTAAAAATCTGCTTAAAAAATTCTTGAGATAAGGCAAAATACGCAAAAACTAACTTTAAGGGTCCGCTGTCCTGACTGAACTATGGGAGGCATATTTAACACATTGCAGCTACACTCTATATTTTGAGACTATTATAAAATTAATGATTAAATTATTTTTAGTCATTTAGTTAGATATTTTTGTAACTGTTCATTCCAATTAAATATTTTTATGTGATTTTTACAGTGGGCCTATGGAGTGACAATGTGGGAGTTGATAACTCTAGGACAACAGCCATATTTATCAGTGGACTCATTTGAAATGTACTCAGCTCTGATAGATGGATATAGATTAGACCAACCGAAAAACTGCCCGGATGACCTGTAAGAATCGATTTCAATTATTTCCTTTATCTTTAACTCCTCCTTTTTACTATCAATTAAAGAATGAAAGGTCACTTTTCTAAGCTGATCTGATTTTTTTTTAAAATATACTACAGTAGGGAACCGATTATCCGGAACGATCGGGACCATCGCTATTCCGGATAACTGATTTTTCCGGTTTTCTGAATAGCTGCAAAAAGCCGTTTTTTTTATTGTTAAACCCAACTAAAAAAAAAGTTTGGAAATAATCTTAAAAAGAAGAAAAAACGATGAAGTAATACACTAATGATTATTTCCAAAATGATGGTAAGGCAAACATCTTTCAAAAAAGAAAGAAAAAACGTAAAATCTTATGAGGAAAAAAAAAATTTTTTTTTTTTAAATGGTGGGAAAATCTATTGAATTTCGTTCCGGTTTTTTGGTTTTCTGATTTCCGGATAACGAGTTCTGTACTGTACTTTCTATACATGACTGTATGATCAAGTTTGACCTATCTTTAACCAGTGCTCTTCATGCTAAGTCTGAAAATGTCACAGTGTCAATATGTAAAAAACCACAGTTTTGTGAAAATGAAAAGATTTTCGTACCTAATTTTTTTTAATATTTAAAAAGTTTAAAGCGCTGCCTTTTCTAGGCTCATAATGTGAAAAAAATTAGAATTATTTATTGAGTTTTATAATTTTTATCTAGATGAAAAAATCTCAATTTTTAAAACATTGAATTTTTTGTTAGTTCTAAAGCTTAGATAATTCCTTGTGGCAAAATGTGTATATACTTTAAAATTATAACTTTGCCTCAAGTATAAGGTATTTGTGGCTTTTTTATTTTGATTCCCTGTTGAAATAGCTTTGAAAAACTAATTCTTAAATATGTTTTCAAAATTTAAGTAAAACTTTTCAAAATTCAATTCAGAATCGCTTTCATTTTGCATTGACAATGATTAAAGCTTTTATTCTTAATGTTTAATATGGAGAAAAAAACCTGACTATTCTGGCATACATAATAATTGATGCCTAAACCATAGTGTTCATAGAAAACTTGTGATTAAAACAAGATAATATAAATAACTTTGAAACATGAGTCATAGAATAAGTTTCTATAGAATGATTAAAAAATCTGAGTTTACAATTAGTTTGTTATAAGTTCTCTTTCTTTTTTAGCACATTTACACACTATGTTTTTTATTTTCAGGTATAAATTAATGCGATACTGTTGGTCAGATGTGCCACAAATCAGGCCTTCAGTGAATGAACTTATCAGATCTCTGCAGGATTTACATATGAAACTTGGAAGCTTTATTTAAGTCTCAGTGAGATACAGTTTCAAACATATTCAGTTTTATGCCCTTACTGCTATATTTTCATAGAAGACAAGAACAAGTTTATTTAATATCCAAATAGTATCTTAAATGCCATTTCCATTACAAAAGCATTAAATTCAATTCAGTCATATCCTATTAATAGCATTTTGTTTATTATTTGCAATTCCTATATTGTTAAGTAGCTTTGAGAGTAGTAATTATTGAAGTAACATTGAAAATGAAAAATCATCTTAGCTGCATATTCGACACAGCAAACAACCTTCACGGTTGCTTTTGTTAAGGCAACTATGCAGCTAAGATAATATAGTTTTATAAAGCTTATGATTTAAATATTGTTAAGCACACACAATGGTAATTAACTAATGTTAACACAGTATTGCGTACTGTGCAACACTGTTTTATTTTATTGTCAAGTTTTAATGATCTCGAATCGATAAATGATTGTCTTTTTTTAGCTTTGATACACACAAAAAAATTCTTATATTTATAAATATATCACTTTGTTACAAGTGCCTTATGCACTTTTTTAATGATAAACTTATGCACTAGTCACTTTAACAAAATGCTTACAATATGTAATCCTACCACCTCTTAAATATGGAATTACTAATGTAATATTTATGTCTTAACTTGATATTACAATTTATTGTTCTATAAAAGAAAAAAAAATGATAATATATTAAAATTCGTATAAAAAGTAAATCATGAAGCATTTTAAACAAAATAATCTTGTTCTTGTCTTAACATTATTGCCTTGTGGCAAGGGCGACCAAGGTGCATGCTACATTTTAAATCTAGTCTCAATTTGTTACATGTATGTGTGTGTGGCTATGTTTCTAATATAAATACGTATGATGTCTTCAAAATAGCCAATATTGTTCATTTGCATGTCAAAAATGTTTTTTTCTATTCAATATAATGTATACTTTACAAATCTTTGTACATGGAATTTAGAAATGATTTTAGACAGTTAAAATTTAGAATTGCAGAGTTTAAATGAAAAGTAATGCTAGTAAGAGAATTAGGATAATTATGAATAAGAAAGTATTTTTAAAAACCTTAAAATCTGAGTTTAGGTTTTGTGTTATTCAAATCAGACATATTTAATAAAATAAGAACTAATTTACCGTAAAATTAAAGAAAATTGTGACCTTAATTACAATTTATAATATTTTTAGCTTTTTTTCGAAAAACTGTTTTGTGAAACAGATTGTAAAAAGTAACGAAATTTATTTATTTAAAGATCTGAATTTAAGATTGAGTTTTAGCAAAAACTTAAAAATGACTTCACATTTTTGTATTATAATTACTATAGAGAAACTCAAAACAAAATAATGTTAATGATAAAGTATAACAAAATTCTGCATTCATATTTTTCAGTGTGAAAATTTGTGAAAAAATAATTTAAAAATTTATTTTATTCAGCAACAAAATTTAAAGCTGAAAATTCTCAACCTTATTTTTCAAAATCAAGGATTTACCGTAAAAACATTGTATGATACCTATGGGATAAGGGTACATCAGATAATGTGTTTTTTATTATTACGTTTTCTAAATGTACAAACCTAAAACTACCATTAATCTTTTTAAATTATCTACTATAAAGTAAATAAGTATAAAAACCTCTCCTTTTATCATAACTATTTTATGACCAAAAAAAGTGGGAGACAATGATGAAATGATAATCTAGTGATTTGAACAAAATAGATTGTGTGATTAAATTATTGCTTTTTAACCCTGCATCATAATTCAAATTTAACCCATTTACAATTACGCCATTGTGGGACAGAAATTCATGTGATTTATGCATAACAAATTTTTGAAAATTACAAATCAAATATCATCTGTCTTCATGAAACATCTCAATTCATGAAATGCTGGTAACTCACCCTAATCTGCAATAACAAAATCTGCATCATAATTTTCACCATTATAGGCAATTATAGGAAATCACAAAATGAAAAATAAACTAAAATATATTGAATATTATATTTACAAATGTAGAACTCTAAATTTACAGCCATGAGAAGAAAAAAAATGAATGCAGAATTTACCTAAACTTTAAAAAAGTGAAGCATAATAATTAAATATAATAAGTCTTCATAATAAGTAAATCAAAATAGCATATAAAAAATAGTCAAGCAAGACTTTTAATCTCTTACCAGCAATTAAATGCTGACCTAATTATTGTTTACAAAAAAAAATTTATTCTTTACTATAAATAACAAAATTTGTTTATTGGGATTGTGCAATCATCTCTTTCAATTACTTTAAATAAACCCCAAACCATTTTTATTTAAATGTTACTCATTTGTTCAAAAAAGCAAACTAATACAGATTCCTTTTTTTTTTTTTTAAATTGAGTGTATGAGTGTTCCCTCCCCCCTCTCTTTCTGCTACTGAAAATAAATATTAAAAATAATTAATATAATTTTAAACTCTTGTTTATGTTTGGTACATCAGATGTACCAAAGTCACAGGCTTCACTATGCTAAGCGCCATACAAATTAAGAATAAACACTATTAAGAATTCACCAGATACATACAATTTTTCTGACATATTCAAAGGATAACGAAATCTTGGTAATAAAATATGATCAGGTAATTTATTTTTAAATAAAAAATAGAAACATATGTCTAGTTCAGCGGTTCTTAAACTTGTTAGTCATGCGGACCATAGATTTAGTAAAAAAAAAAAAAAAAAACTTTGTGGCCCATCTAAACATACAACTTAAAATATACATACATATGTATATAAAATGTACTATGGCCACTCACTATATGACTAGTGGATCATACCAAAAAACTGGTACCAGACTCACTGATATTTTAGAGAATCTTGACTTAGATTCTCGACCAGGATCCACAGCGGATAAGCATGGCCATGAGTTGGGAACTGCAGGTCTAGTTGTATCAAAAGAAAAAACTATAACAAAAATCAGATTTGTTCTATTAACCATAAAATTCTTTTTTACGTTAAACAGTATATCGCAAAAAAAAGCAAGCAGATTAAATTTCATTCACTTTTAACCACATATCTTCAAAATATTTGTGAGTAATGATTAATTAAGCTTTTTTTTATTCATTCTTTTAGAAAATTAAATAAAATTGTTGGCAACCTGTGTAAGCATAATAATTTTTTATTTAAAAGCTTTTAAAAAACATAATAATTGAATGTATATAGAAAAGTAACCCCATCTTTAAAGCAGAGTTGTGATACATTAATTTACTCTGCTACCGGAATAAAAAGAACTGTTTTATAATTGATAGAGCCATATTACAGGATTCATATAACATTGCTTTCATAGCTGTCAGAAAAATGGCAAGAAACTGCTTTGAATCTCTTTGTCTTATTAATTTTTCTTGCAATTCTATGTAAAAATGGCTCACACAATGTTTGCTGCTTAGATTCATGAAGCATCATTTGTGGCGTCTATATAAATGTTGTACATAAATTGTATGTCAGACTTTATCATGAAATATTTATGTATATTTATTAAAAATGCATTTTGTTTTTAAAGAAATGTTGGTATAAAATACTTGTTGACCAAGTTTATTGTATTTTAATAAAGTCTTTAAGAGAAATTACTCGCTATTTATTATTTAAATAAAAGGGTTTGGCACATTATCGGCAGCAATCTGCAAGCATCATTCATTAAAAAAATAAAACAGATTAAAACTAAAATTTGTGCAAAAACTTAACACTAAATGTCAACGTGTATGTGTAATAGCACAAACAGTAAATTTTTCTGGATAGGGTTTTAAAACTCATAGCTTTATAAGCCATAAATTTTCAATCAAGGATTAGATTAATATAGGAATAATAATGACAAGAATACCAGTTTAACTTTTAAACATAGAGCTATTTTTTTCAACTATATTAATATGTAACTTAGTTCAGTAATTTGATAACTAAATAAAATATTTACTAATTTCTTAAAAAAAAATAAACAATGATGTTTTAATTAATTTTTCTATATATTTTTTGTATTTTTACATTTCATTACACTCTTTATATAAATTAAATCTTTTTTTTTTTTGATCAACTGAAACAGATTTAATTGATTGATGATTTTTGATAAGTTTTAGCCCCCCCAAATCCCCTCTCCGCTGCACCATTGTTTTCATGTAGTTTTAAGAATACCTTTATAACACTTCCCGTGTAGAATTTCTTTGACTAATTTTTAAAAATTGCAAATTACCTGATTTCTGTACTTCAGCTGAAAGAACAGTTTGCATTAAAGGATTTCAAGTTAACTTCTTTTCATCATAGAAGCTTCATTTTATCGACTCCACTCTTGGGTAATGAATCTTAATATTGTCAGATACCATTTTCTTATTGTAGTCCCCTAATTTCTTTATCTGAAAATCCTACAAATATGCTAATGACTGATGCCTCTTTTTCATTCAAAAATTTCACTTTACATAATCATAAAGTGAAATATTGTCTCAATTCTTAAGATTTTCTCACTCACAGTAATCTAGAAAATTACATGTGTAAGTTAAGCATTGCATTTGACTAGCTAACTATTTTGGAACATGTGAAAGCTGTGCTTCCATAGACCTTTTTTTCGATCCAAGAATAATAAATTTACATCAAATGAAACTTACAAAATATAAATCTTGGACATGTTAACAGTAAGCAAAAGATGGTACAGTTATTTTAAGATAAATAATAGTGCTATTTTTTGCTTACTGTTGTCAATGACATCTTTGGACAAAGAATACATTGAAAATTTTGAAAATACACCTTAGAGAAACTATTCTGCTTTATCTTAAAAATTAAGCATAAAGTTTTGAAAAAAGGAAAAGCATACAGATGTTCATTATCTAACTGCATTATTTATCTAAATTTTCATTATGTTCTTACAAAAATAAAAATAGAACAATATTACATTTTTAATGTAGAAAAACAATTATGCAGTCTTTTTTTTAAATTGTAAACACAAATTATTTGCTTATAATTTTTATATGATTATCTAATTTAAATCAATTTCTACTAATAAATATTTTAGTAATGCAATTAATAACTTAGTTTACTTTTGATAATCTTTATAGTTTAAAATAATATGTTTTTAAGACATATAAAATGGCAGTTCAAAAGGTTGCTATTATAAAAACAATATAGGTGTCCATAAAAAGTGAAATATCTTCTGATTAAAAAAATAACCAAAATTAAATCTTTCCAGAATATAATAAATATTTTTTTTTCTTTTAAAATATCAATCATTTTAATTCATTTGCACAGTATTTTCCAAAATATTTTAATGTTATAACTTCTCGATAAAAAAAAATTTCAGTACTCAAAAGCTTAGATAGGAAGACTAAAAAAACAGTTCTTCTTACACATTTTAATGACCAAATAACTACATGTTGAAACACATCTCCCATACACTGATAGAACATTTTGGCACTGGTGCACATTAACAATGTGAAACATTTAAAAAATATATAAACTTGTATAGCACCCGTTAAAAATATTAAAATTCTTTAAAAGCAACAAAATTTGATTTAAAAAATTGATCGTTTAAAAAAATAAATATACATGATGAAGGAACAAAATACCACAGATGAACAAATGCATGACCTGCCAGCAGGCAAAACACTTAGTAAGAGTATAAATATATACACCAATTCACTTCATCAAAACACCCATTGAAGTTCTGTTCTTCTTCCCAATGGTATTAATATAAGTTTCAAATCAAGAACCTACAAAAATGCATTCGAATAAGAATTTTGTGTGGTAATATAAAGCAACTAGATTATAAAAAATTTTAACATGTTACAGTATAATTTTGTAATCCTATTCCATGTGAGTAAAAAGTTAATTTGTTTTTTTTTAAGTGAAGGATTGCAATGAAATATTAGACTTTTCCAGGTATTTCAGGAAAATTTAATTGCAAATCTAGACCATATTTAATGTATACGATACACTTTTCATCTAAAAATTACGTTGTTTTTTTTTTGTATTTGTAATGTTAAACATAACATTTTGTGAGTAAAAAAATATCATTGAATGAGGATAGAAACGCAGAAAAATTTCACTAAAATGTGGAATTTTTGCAACAATTAATTGCAATAAACGTTATAATTAATTAACTCAAATCTCAATAAGCGATTACTGTGACTGACAATTCTAATATTGATCACTTTTCATGTTAAAATGTAGGAATTTTCCAGGTTTTTGCACACAAAAAAGCAATTTTCCCTGCTTTTTAGAGTAAAATAAAATTTCCTGTAAATCAGATTTTTCTCTGACCCGTGGTATTAAAATATTTTGTAAGTTTTCACAAATAATAAAGGAATGTGATAATGCAAATCATGAACCGATAAACACTTATTTGATGGTAACAAAAGCAGTATTTCACCAAATGCATTTTTTTACCAAGTATAAATAGAAAAACAAATTTAGTTTTAGTGAAAATTATAAATACTACAGCAGTTTTTATTGCTTTTAAAGGACCATTTAGTCTCAATTGAATTTTTCATTAACAAATTAAGCATGTAATTTTATGGTATTAAAGGCAATAATTTAGCATGCACTATTTCATTCTATGAAACAAGAATGGCAGCACTGCTTTATTGCACCAAGAAAACAAGGTGGAATAATTTTAATTTTTGAAAATTTAAAGCTGTTTTTAGCCTAGATTATCCTGAGACACATTTTCACATCTAGTAAAATTAATATTTATTTCGAAATATCAGCTTTATCAACATATTAATGTTTAAACAAAACTTAAAATTGCAATTACATTTATCTAGACATTAATTGTCCATTTCATATAATTTGCTTATATTAATTAATTTTATTGCTACAAACATGGATTATCATTAAAAATAAATTATAAGTAAAATGGATGTTATACAGCAAGAGAAAACCTTCATGGTAAAATGTTTTTCAACCAGATACGAAACTCAGAATGTTTTATATAGAAAAAAATGAGATCAGATAAACAAAATTTCAAATAATGAAATGTATGTTTAAAAAAATATTTCTATTGCAAACAAATTCAGGTCGATTTTCCTCTTTAAATTGCTGTTATGGAAAGCGAAACAGAATTTGCCATGACAGATTTCTCCACGGTATAGCATAAACTTAAATGACAGGAAAAAAAGGGCACATAAACATTAAATAAAGCATGGAGATGTAAGAACAGTTTTTACCATTGTGTCATAATTCCAATGGTACTGCTTGTTCGATAATATATAGCTGCCATCGATAATGATTCTTTTAGGAAACTTATTCAATCCCATAATTCTAACTTGTTCAATAGCGGCTTTGTAAAAACTGGAGCGGAAGACTTTTTTCCCAAAATTTCCATTCACTACCAATGTATTCTAAAACAAACAAGACTTAATTCAGGTAAAATTAGACAGAGAAATGTACTAAACAAAAAAAAATCATTTTAACCAACTTATTAAATTGTTAAAAGTTTTATTATCTTTCAAAACCAATCAATAATATTTTTAATAAATTCTTGAAATCTGAATATGAGGTCACAAACTTAAAATAAATATTCAGTAATAAATTTTTTATTCCAATGGCATTTTTATAAAGAAAAAAATTTTAACTTATGATTTTAACTCATACAACTAAGAATAATTAAAATTGTACTAGCAGCAAATCAAATTACTGGAATCAATACTATTCATATGAGATACAAATTACATACATTATACTTCCATTCCGAATAAAAGCATGATTAGGATTATAATAAATAATTACAAAACCATAAGATAATGTGCAAAATTTCGCAATCAAAATGTAAAAGGAAAATATAAACTATTAAGCATAAAAAACAGAAAATTCAGTTATAAAACAAAATTTTTATGCATTTAAAAATTACTATCTCTACATATATTAGATTAAAATGCAAACTTGAAAAGAAAAAAAAACTAATAAAAATTAAACAGCTCTTACTCCCGAAGCAGAATATTCCACTAATATGTACTCTCCAAGGGCATGAGAATCTAAAAATAATAAAATTAATTCACTTTTTAACAAATTCTTTCTCTTAAATAATTGCTTTAAAAAGAAAAAAAAATCATAGCAAAAGAACATGAGATGTGTAAGTTAAATCACGCAACTATATTTCTGCAAATCATAAAGACACACAAAAGATAAATTACTAGCCTTACGTAAATTAAATAAATATAAATCATTATTTAAATAAACATAAAAAGCACAAGAAACTAATTTGCACAACTCTCACTAAGTTGAGTTCCAAGATATTAAGAATGGCTTATAGACTGGGGGAAGCAGAATTGGTTGGAAGGATACGATCAGCACTTAAGGCAACTATTGTATTTCATGGCTGTTTGTTTATGTTGGTGAGATCAAACCACAGCAAATACACAGTTTAAAACTCAGTAACAATAAAGTATTCACAAACTTGAAATTAACCAAAACAGCATTACAAATGAAATACGTCCAATCATATAACCTAGTGTATAAGTACAACAACCAGAGTTTTCTCACCCGTAAACTAGATGAAAAGCATTATGAATGAGGCCATAGTCAACAGCATAAGAAAATGTAACAATCTTTTTTGGATTAAGCAATTTCAGTGCATTTTTTAAAAAAGGGTGTAAAACAATCAGATTTGGCAGAAATCTTTTAAACATTAAAACTGTGCATTGCCCTAGTTGTAAAATAGTTTTATGTTTTTTTGCTAATATAATACAGTAGAACCCGTTTAAGAAGTTTTTCAAGGGAGTGGAAAGAAACGACTTATTAAACGGGAAAACTTATTAAACGGTGAAACTTAAAAACACATTAATAAAAAACTAAAAAATTTGAAATTGTGTAACTTATATTAAATTCTCAGCCTAATGAAATAAATATTGAATTTTAATATTCATTTAGAAAAAAAATTGCTAATAAATAAAAACAAAGTAACCTACTTTATTTTTTGTTTCATACAATGTAATATACGTTGTTACAATAATTGACTAGATTTCTGTGAGAAAAAATCGTGTAAAGTGGTTTGTTTTTGTCTTTTCTCACCTACCTTTAAGTGAAAATTGTCCAACTGCTGTAAAAATTTAAACATTTCCGGGGGTACATTTTCAACAGTGTAAATAAATTTCCTAAAAGTATCCAGCCCTTTCCTGGCATCAGAAAAGCTAGGTGGTTTAGCAATATCTTCTTCAGTTTCACTGAATTCTTCTGTATCATTTGTAACATCACAAATATCCTCTAATGTCAGCATATCACAAGGTAAAATTTCGTCGTCAACGGATACATATTCTTCAAACGATGCTGTGAAATTAAGTTTATTTTTGAATGACTTCCAATCATTAACAAAATTTACGTTTGTTTCTTCGTCTTCATCTGATATTTCATATTCAGCTTCTAAGAGATATTCTTCAGTTGTATCTCCGTCAGAGAATCCAGCTTTCCGAAAACAGTTAGCAATGGCAGATGGTGTTATTAATTCCCATGCTGATACAATTAACTCAATCGCTTCTAACATATTGACTTTTTTTAGCTCTCCAGTATTTTCAAGTCCTTCCAGCATCCGTTTCACAAGTCGCATTTTATAATGCTGCTTAAATACCTTAATAACTCCCTGATCCATTGGTTGTAGAACAGAAGTAGAATTTGGTGGTAAGAACTGCAACTTGATGTTAGTGTACTTATTCTCCTTGGAATGAGCAGCGCAGTTGTCTACGAAGATTATGATGTTTCGTTTTTCTTTTCGCATCTTACTGTCTAATTTTTTCAAATACGTTTCAAAAATTTTAATTGTCATCCAGGATTTTTGATTACTGTCATAATCACAAGGCAGTGACTTAACATTTCGAAAGCATCTTGGTTTTTTCGATTTACCGATAACTAAAATCGGTAATTTTTCTATACCATTCATACTGGCCCCAACTAAAATTGTCAAACGTTCTTTACTGTTTTTTCCGCCATGACAGGGTTCACCTTTAAAGGCAAAAGTTTTATCTGGTAAAAGATTGAAAAACAGTCCACATTCATCCATGTTAAAAATGTTCTTTGGTTGATACCCTGAAATAATTTCAGGTAATTTAGCTTTCCATTCTTCAGCTTCTTGTAAATCAACGCTGTTACAATCTCCTTTAATTGTTTTATAAACTAGACCAGCTCTTTTTTTCATCCGATCAATCCATCCATTGGAAGGCGTAAAATCAACATTCAATTTCTCCGCAATCTCTAATGCTTTTCCTCTAAGAAGAGTTCCGTTGACAGGTATGTTGGCGGATCTTGCTTGTTTAAACCATATCATCAGTTTCTCTTCAATATTTTCGTATTTTCCTTTCTTCACTTTTTTTACTTTCTGGGATGCACCGGAACAAGAAGAGTTTAAGATGATGTCTTTCTTAGCAATAATGCCATTTAACGTAGTAACAGGAAGATCTAAATTTTTTGCTATTTGAACTCGTGTTAATTGAGGATAGCTGTCAACAGCTTTTAAAATTTTTACTTTGTCATCAATAGATAGAGCTTTACGCTTAATGCCTTTACAGGACATTTTCCACAAAAATCAAACTTTTTACGATGATTTTTAAGATAACATAAGCGCCTACACTAAGAAAATTTTCAACGAAATGCTGCTAAATGTTTAGATGTATCTTTCTCTTCAGTTATTGAATGGGTGTGGACAGCAGTGAAGTTCGTGAGTCACCAGGCTATTCATTTAAGGTGGACACAATGACAAAGCTATTCCCTACATTCTTATCAGTTTCATAGTTCATCTAAAGGTTCACATTCCTTTGCTCACACCTGTTCCTGATAAGTCACCTTTCTTTGTAACAAAGGAGTGATGAAGGTCAGTGGTCAGTACCCATACATGTGTTTGTAAGGGCAAGTTAAAACTAAATAAGACATTTTAAATAAAATTTTAAAAAATTGAAATTAGGAGTGGAAACTTCTTAAACGGGAAAAAAACTTCTTATAAAAGTAAATTTAACATTATGGTAATTGGTTTTTTTAAAAAATAACTTCTTACGCGGGAAAACTTCTTAAAAGGGAACTTTTTAAGCGGGTTCCACTGTATACAGTGGAATCTCAACGAATTTAAGAATTTATTTCATATTAGTTTCACTTTGCACTAAAGAAACCATAAATGCTTCACAAAAGGAAAAAAAATTGGGTACAATTTTAATAGAATAAATATTATATTACTTGTAAATAATGATATAACAAATACTATAAATATATGTAAGTAATTTGTCTTAAGACAGAATTCTGAAGGAAAGAAAAGAAAAAAAAATATTTTAGTTTTAAGCATTTCTGAAATAACTTGCAACACTCAAACAATGTTTTAGAACCTTATTAGAAATTCATAACAAGGTTGAAATAATTTAAATCAACTAACCTTTTACTTAAAAATTTATTATAAATTTAAAATATGATTTAATTAATTTACAAAGAAATTTTTAATTTTAGTTAAAAGTGAAGGATTTATTCTATTAAAATGATGCTACTCATTGAATTCCCTCCATATGAAAAACAATGTTTTGATTAGAAAAAAATTTATTAATTGGTAAAAAATATAAATTTTGAAAAAAATAGTTTAAGAAGAAATATTTAATAACCAAATTGTCTTACTTTTGGTTTCCCCATCGTCCCAATAGAGAAGACCTTTAGCTTCATAAGAAGAATTCAGAGCTACCAATATACTCATAGAATTCAATCGACTGAAATTGAAAACAATTATTCAACAATCAATCATAATTGTAATTTAGTAACAAAATATCAAAACAGAGTTTAAAATGACAGTAATAGGATACACTTGTCTGGATTTCAAAACGGTGCTTGCTGTTTATTAAAATTCTGTGCATTCTGAAAACTTATTATTTTATAAAGTGGCTGATTTTATAAACTGGAATGACTATACTTAGGTGAAAAAATGCTTCAAATTTAAACATTAAAAATACACTATAAGTTAAATTAATTACAACTTTTATATTTCATTTTTACTGAAAGTACATCTGACATTTTAATTAAAACAACAATTTTTAACACATTAGCGTATTTGCTTGATTAGCAAAATTTGAAGTTAACCCTCCAAGTGTTGAGCCCCTAGAAAATACTGAACTGAAATTTTCCTGCTAAGAAACTGGTTCATTGATGCAGGAAAGCCTGCCTCTAAGAATTTGGTAAAAACTAGAGCTAACACTCAGCAGGTTAATAATTCAACATGATTTAAAAAAGAATAAATTTTCCAGAATGCTTTTTTATTGCTACAAAATTTGTCTTAAAATATCAAGCACTTTTCAAACATCCATTGAAGATATATTTACTTTATTGAACAACTAAGTTATGCTCATTGATAATGAAAGATGATAGCATTTCATAACTTTTCTCTTACACAGCATTCATATGAATTATTTTACAACCCCCCTAATAACATTTTTAACTCTCACCCTTCAATTTTCCTAAGTATTATTCACATCTGTAACTTTGTTCTTTTAGTTCATAGGGGACAAGATGAAATTTGTTATTTAAATGTTACACTTTTTTCAAAGCTTGAGAAAATATAAACTTCAAATTAATCAGACAGGAAAAAGCAGTTTTCTATTTTAAAGTCCATTATGAAAAATTTGATTTTACAAAATGTCCATGGTGATTCTACTGATTTTACTTACAGTGATTTTAGCATGTTTTGATTTTGTAAGGACTAAGTTCTTGTAGATTTGATTTTAAAAAGTCGCTGATTTTATAAACAAGCGATTTTATGAATGACAATTACTGTATTTAGGTTATTCATTAAAAGTTTCTGTAAACTTTTATATTTACAATATGAATCTGAAGTGTAAATAAAATAAAAAATATCTATACAGTGCGACAAAAATAACCTGCCAATCAATTTTTAATATAACTTCTTTAAAAATAAATAAGAAAAGTAGACTTTTACTAATAAATAAATTTCTTTGGTTTCAAAGTGGCTGCCGTTTGCAATGATGCATAGGCACAAACACTAATTGAAATTTCAGCACTGGGCCACAAGTCCCATTTTCCCAAAAACGATCCCTTTAGAGTCTAAACTTTTCTGTACAACAATTAAGAATAGAGTAAATGAATGATTTCACACTGTTATTTCCATACTTAATCAACTCTAAAATAGCAGATCTTTTGATATTTTATATATATAAACAGAAAAATGTATTATAAAATATTTTATAATGAAAGTGATAGACAACAAAAAAATATGAACAAAAAAAATTAACTCACAAACTATAAAGAAATTAATTAACTTCTACTCTATGATGCAATAACTTTGATTTTTTTCCACACCTTGTATAATATCAAATTCGTTTTAGAATTAATACCTCCAGAAACTAATTACTTAAATCTTTTAAAAAGACATGAAAATTTTCACTTGAAATTAGTACTATGAAAAATATCATTTGGAACTTCAAAAATGTTATATCAAAGTAAGGATGCATAAATTAACAGATGTGACAAAAATTCTAGTAAAAACTAAAATTAAAAAAAATTATATACATCTAAATAATTGTTACCTAGCAGTTGTTGTTTCTGATGGTTTTTGAAGTGTTAAAATGTGTCCAGCACGAATATGCAAAACAGCCGGCTGTTTGCTATCCAAAAAAGGTCCTCCAGTTTCCGAAAACCATTCACCAGAACTTACAAATGGTCCACCCTATAAAAATGAAAATTCATTATGAACAAAATTTCATTCTTACACAGCTACACTAAGGCTAATAATTTTTTACACAGATAAAAGAAATAATTAGCCTGGTTATTTTAAATATATATTCCTAAAATAAAATGGAAGTAGCTAGAATGTATTAGTTGGTAATATAAAACTGAATTCTTCAACAATGTTTATAATAGCTACCAAACATAATGAATGCAGTAAAAGAATTTCCAGGAAAAATCAATTAAATGTCGTTTAAAATTTGTTTATTCATTAACGTTAAATTAATGACAAAAAAGTGACAGAAAATTTTAAATAATTCTCATTTGCTAGATTTTTTTACTTGAATTACTAATAAATTTATGACACATATTGAATTATTCATTTTAAGACATACTAATGCAATGAAAGATAAAATAAAAAAAAGTTGAGGCACACAGAAACAAAACTATTTTATCTCAAGTTGTTAAAATAATTACTAATATTTCATGCCATTAAAATAATTAGCAGCATAATAAATTAATTACCAACACTTATTTAAGAAAACAATAGCAGAAAAGTTGCTGAATAAAAAAAGTTTGATTGAATTGTAGAAGACATTCTGTTCTTACTGAAACGAAAATTTTAAAATAATCAAAGTATTAGAGATATTTACCTGATAATAATCATACCAAATACCCTCAGGAAGATAAAAATTTATCATTTCTGCACCCTAGAAAAAATAAAAACAATACAATAAATTAAGTTTCAGAAAGTACCAAAAACAAATTAATAAAACAATCTAGACTAATATTTAAATAAAACAGGACATAAAATACCTAACATAATACTTTTATAATGCATAAAAACAACTAATATTTATATAACAAAAATCATTACAGCTTTTCTTCTTAGTGAGAGACATAAAACATTAGCTTTTGAAAAAATACTAGAATAACTGGCAATCTCATTAGAGAACAATTGCCACAACAACGTACTACCTCTTAATGGAGTACATGTTTCACATGAGCAGCAAACAAGAGATTTATTTTTTAATTTACAATCATAACGTATGTTTGAAAAAATATTTTCAATTTCAAAATATCCTTCTCAGAGCACTGCAATATATTTTACAAAGTATGAAGTGCTCTGCAGAGTATATAATAGTTTGAGAGCCTCTGATCTAGGGTTCAATAAAAAAAAAATATTTTTTTAAAAGTTACTAACCTCTTCAAGAATAGGTGATATCAGGAGTGATGATCCCCACATGAATTGGGAGTCAATTGAGAAAGTTTCATTGTCATTCGGAAATCTGATAAAGAGGTTTAATATAAGGATTCAAAAATAATAAAATCTTTGTCAATAAAAAAAAAACTATATGAAATTTATATTACTCAAAGAAAAGTGGTCTCACAACCGAAGAACCTTTAGTATGACTCAAATGAAAAAGTGTGTATAAATAAGGCAATAATTCATATCGTCTTGACAAGGCATTTCGAATATCATGATAAAATTCTCTGTCATCAACACCCGCATTAAAAATCTGAAAGAAAAAAAAAAATCAAATTTTTCATGAATGAATATACAGTAAAAGTCCGTTATAATGACAATTCATAATAACAGATTAAATTGCCATTATAGCGACAATATCCTTATAAGCAAATACATATATTAAGAGTTATAATAGCAGTAAAAGACTAAAAAATGAAATAGACATATTTACCACTTCTCTTTTAATTTAAACGACTATTTTGATTTAAAATACTTATCTAGTACAATGAACTTACCCAAAGATATTAGACTGATTTACATAACTCTAAATTTTCTAAAAGACAAACATGTTTATGACAGGAATGTTTAAACAACAAGTTTCCAAATCATAACAAGTTTTTGCAAAATGGAAATTTAATGAAGGACAATACTTTTTAACGTTATAGAATTTTGCCCCTTCCCCCCACACTTATAAAAAATCAGGAAATCTTGAAAACATCTTGTCAAAATTGGGTGGCGACAAAAGGGTTGAAACTAATTGCAAGAGTCAATAAATTGCCTGCAGAAAGTTTTTTAAACTAGATTTTGTGTTCGGAGAAAATTATTCCATTTTTACCGATGTCCACACGCGCCTAGCTAACTGAAAAGCAACCGATTTTAGAAATTAACAGATCATTTACAATTAACTCAATAAATAACATATTAGTTTTATTAAATGTGTCAAACAAATCAAATAAGCTCCAAGTGCAAAACATTACATGGTATTAGAAGAAATACGTGTATTGATCAAATAATGATAGAAAAAAATATGTAGAACTTACATATTTAGCTCCAGTGCCGTATAACTGCAAAAGAGGATAAAATATACCCAGTTGCAACCACCTCAGACAAAGTTCATTAGATCTTTCATCTTTGTGGGAATCAACAGCACCACAAACATTAATTCCAGACTATAAAAAAGTAAGGAAATTTTAAATTGGTGTAATACTTTCTGCATACACTTTAGTGGGCTTCAAGTTACTGCACCCCTAGCTTATACCCTCATAATTTCTCAGTTAGATATTAAATAAAGACTTAATTACTTTAAACCAGTAAACATTAAAAAAATAAAAATTTAAATGTTCTTGGTATGAGTCTCATTATTATTTAAATATATGAACTTCATAATAAATAAGTTTTAAAACTACTTCAATTTAAAAAAAAAACATAAAATTAAATCAGTAAAATATAAATATTTATTTGCTGACAGTAAAATAGCTAATTGTTTTACACACAATTTATGGAAACTTATAATTTCAGAGTGACTTTATTATTATCAACATTCTGTCTATTTTTTCCCCCTTTTCTCTTTGTTTTCTGATTAAAACTATTATTATCAATAAAATAAAACTTAACAAATATTACGCAGCAAAAATTTTTTAAATAAAATTGAGTCAGAATTAATGACTATTTTTTTATTTCTCAATTTAACTTAAAAGTTCCATAATTAAGGAAATTTAAGAATTAAAAAGAGAAGTTTTTCTAAGAAATAATTTTTTCTTAGAAACAAAATTGCTTGTTTAAAAAGTACCTATTACTTACTACAGTACTTTGCCCAGACCAGAGCTTACACTAACGTAATAGAATATTAAGATAGAATATTCCGTAATAGAATATTCCACAAGAGAGATTTTTTGTCGCAAATTTTTTCCACCTCTGTTGTTAATTTAAAAGAAAGACAAAGTAAGTTAAGGCAAGCCTAAAGTAAGCCACGAAGTTTCAATTGCTGAAAAAAATTTTTTTTATAAAATATCAAAATGCAAGCGAATCATTGGAAGAGAACCTCTCCATTGTGTAATTCTAAGTTATCTTCTCATAATTTATTTTCATTTTGATATTTAAAAAAAAAAATTTTAGTATTTGAACATTCATGGCTTACTCTAGGTTTGTCTGAACTCACTTTTTTCATACTTAAAATTAGATATGGAGGGAAAAGAAAATTTGCGACAATGGAATTTAATTACTAAATGATTAATGGAATTTAATTATTATATATTTATAATTAATAATGAATAATATAATTCTTTGTGAAATTAAAAGGCACAAGACCTGACATCTGCCATATCACATTAAATCACAACAAAAAGTAATAAATTCAAGGAAATCAAACTGTATTATAAACGTGTTATAAACAAAGTCTGACAAAAAAAACAATGGCCTCTTTAGAAATTTTTGCACATGTTTACCTAGCAAATATTATGAGAAAGTAAAGCACTAAAATGTGAATTTAAAAAACAGTAAAAGGTTTTACTTGAACAGATAAAACTGAGAAAAATTAAAACACTTTTTTAAGCATAAAATGCTAAAAATCACAAAATTGTTTATACATACTAAAGCTATGCCATGAAGTCCCTGTCCTAAAACAATTGATATTGAAGCTTGAAGGTCTGCCCATGTAGCAGATAAATCCTTAATGTAATGGCCAGCATATTGTCCAGTACCAACAAAAGTAGAATCACTAACTATTAACTTTCTTTTTGCGGGATAATTTAAATCAAATGCTCTAGAAAATAAAAACTATTTTGAGTATAAAATGAGAACATTTTTTATGCACTAATTAAATGTATACAAACATAAAATGAAAAAGAATGGAAACATTTTACTTACAAGTCAGTTGCAATCACCATTGCATGGCCATAAAAATTATGATAATCATAATGAGTGATAGTGTCATCTTTCCATCGCAATAAAGCATCCATGCACAAGGTTTTTTCATACACAGCATTATTAACAACTCCTAATAATTATTAATAACAATATTATTTAATTAAAAAAAAACGAAATTAACTATAATAATGTTTGCATAATTCTAGCATAATAAGCTACTTCTTTACAAATGAAAACAACTCTCTCAGTCATACATTATTTATGACGGGCTTTGGGGTAATATGAGAGTAGGTCACATTTTCAAATTGCTCAGGCAAGCATTTATAAGATTAAATTTAGAAAAAAAAACACCACAATTTCTGAAAGGCAATAAAATGTTTCTGCGTATTGTGTTGCTATCTAGTCAAAATTCTGGAAACTTGTGATGCATCAAGAAACAATATTAAGGAAGAACAGTTTGTGATAAAATATGTCATCTTTTGAAATAATTAGCTTACCGAATTCTACACAATATTATACCACAAGCAGCTCCAGTTCTATTAAAAATTTATCTGACTTCAACTGAAATAAACTTAAATCTAAAGCTTATGTTAAAAACCAATCAAAGACTTTAAAAAGCCACCTTATATTTAAATTAAATATTGCATAGAAAACGTTACCTTTTTAAAAAAGTAGTGCAATTAAAAGCTTATTTAAATATAATAGCAATTAAGAGTATTTAATATAAATCTATATAATAGGTTGATATATGGTGTAACAAATGTGAACAATATGGTGTACTTAACAATTATGGTGTAATTATTGTGAAATAGACTAACATAGGGCTAATAATCAAATAAATTTTCAAAAATTTCAACAACAAAAAATTTTTACTATAAAATTAACGTAAAAAATTCTTAAACCAGAATTTTATAGTAACAACTAGAAAATATTAATATCAGAAGCTTCAAAATAAATAAATAAAATGCCATAAAATAAAGAGTATTAAACTTCAGATTAAGCTTAGTGTAGAGGTCATAAGATTATCATGTCTTTTAAGCCATTTATAAAAACAAATAAACTTTATACCAGATAGAAATCTTAAATAAAAGTATTGTTTTTAAAGCTTGAAAATATCTTCTCTATAAATGGCAATTATTGATTAGAACAAGTATTATTATAGTTAGATCATTCAAAAATTTTAAAATCATCTGGATGAAAAAACAAGAAACTAAATTGCAAAATTAAACATCAGTGATAATCTTACTAAAAAAAAATGAAAATGTAATATTTATTTTTCTACAATCGGTACATCATAAACTTACTAGGTACATAGGGTGGACGATTTAAATTGTCATTCAAACAACCATTAACAGATCCATCACTATTAGAAACAGGCTCATTATCAATCTGGGAAAAAAAGACAGTTTTCAGCAATTATAACTTACATAAATATATGATAATACAGTAGAACTTAATACATTAGATTATCTAACATACATTAGATAATACATTAGATTATCTAACATACATGAGACCAGGGGTACATGGAAAACCTTTACACTGAATTTGTAAGTAAATTAACATTAAACTATATTTTACTTATGTTTTGTTTTTCTATAAATAAATAACAATACAATAAAAAGGAAAAAATCATTGGTAAATCTTTGTTTTCATTTATTAGAGATATTCTATAAGTTTTAGAACCATAGTCACAGCAGTAATTGGATTGAACTTAATTTAATTGATCAAGGGTTTTAATAGTACAAGATCGAAAAATGAAACAGTAATTCTAGAACATCAGATATAATAATGATGAAATGTGTGTCAGGATTTTTAAATTGTACTTTGAAAGAGGTATCAGTTAATTAGTGTTAGACTTTATTTTTTAAAAATGTACTTAATTATAATAAACATGATTCATTTATTGAATTTTCATTAGCATAATTTTCACTTCACTTCAATAATTTTATAATATTTTTTTTTAATAAAAATAAGAGTTTTAATCAAATAAGTAAAACATATAAAGGGGTTCAAGCTAATATTAAAATTTTCATTTTTCTTTGCCAGGTAAAGACAGTTCTCACACGTTATTATGCATGTAAAACAATCTCCGAATTCACATATTTAAGAAACGACCAAAGAATAAAATTTTAAAAAAACTAGAGGTTTTGAATATTGGTTTTAATTTCTATTCTTTTTTCAACAAAAATTGAAAGTATAGAGCGAAGATTATAATTTACTGAAATGTTCAATTAGTAGTAAAATTTTACACAGCCTTTTTAGTTTTAAAATATTTTATGCAAGATAAAAAAATTTAAAAAACTCACCAGAGAGGATCCATCAAGTTCAATAATATCTGATATCTTTTTAGTTATCTGTGACCACCAAGTAACTCCACCAGAGCTACCAAAATCAGGATATACTACAACAGCATCATGATACTGAAAATATCAATCAGAGAATATAAGAAAAAGTTTTTTAAAAAAAATTTAAAAAACATTACTTGAAATTTAACTTTTTGCATGTAGTGATTATTTATAATTGATTGAACAATTAATTTTATTTCAATATAAAACATATTAAACAAATACAAAATAAAATATACTCACATATTACTTAAACAAGAAACTAATTTTATTTATTTATTATTAATATAAATATAACATAGTAATAATAGGTAAATATAGATAGAGACAAAAGCAAAATTTAGCACATCCTGCAGCTTACTATAGTTTTTGAGTATTTTTATTCACTGATTTTTGAATAAAATTACTCTTTATATAATATTTTCTTTGAATATTTTTAAAATTTTTATTTCATTATCGAGTATAGAAAACTTTTCTAACTATACAGACCAAATCAACAGCCTGAAAGAGCTCAAATGTTTTATTTATTTACTGTCAATACTAATTTTAAAAGATCTAAATAACAAATTAAATGTCCTGTAACTAACTATTCAGTTTGAAGAAAACTTTTTAAACTCTACAGAGCATCTATCAAGAACTACAGCCTAAATGATTACATTTTTTTTTAAATACTAATTACAAAAAATTTAAATTTAAAAAATAAATAATCAGAACAAACATAATCTTTAATGCTTGTTTAAAACTTATGTTAAATTATGTTTTTCAGTCAAATATTAAGGTATACACAAGCATCTAGAACAAGAATTTACAGAAGAAAAAAAATTCTTCTAGAAAAAAATAAAAGAGGCCTTTACACTATTTTGTTTGAAACAAAATATTCAAGAGTGAAATCAATGTAAGAAAATATTAGTTTACCTCTTTCATCACTCAACACACTCAAAGTTTAATATTTTAAAGAATTATATTAAATAATATTTCGCTAATTATTCAAAAGTTCAAAAAAAAAAGTATTAAATTATGAAGAAAAAAAAGCACAGTAAAAACTTTACAGAGAAAGGAAACTGTACCAGGATGAAATTTTTTAAAATTTCTAATTTTAAACATTAATAAACAAAAAATCTTCACAAAAACAGGTTATATTAAAATTCAATAATAAATAAAACAGAAAACCAAATGCAGTTGTGAAATATAAAATACATAAAAAGGACTTGTTTTAACCTACCCATGCTTCAACAGCATTTAAGCCCCATTTGTCAGTGATGAAAATATCGTTTTGTAAGCCTCCATTAAAAATTGAATCACGATTGGTGACTGAAGATTTTGGGATGCCAGCTGCTAGTTCCAGGACTAATTTTTGATTTTTGCTCTTCAGCTTGGAAGTGAAATTTTGAAATTTTTTACCAGTGAAATTTTCTATAGCAACCTTGTCAATAATTTCTTGCCTCAACACAACAGAATCCTGAAGAAAAAAAAACATACTGTACAAATAAAAATGTAGTTTATAAATCTAATTAATCCCCCCCCTAAAAAATTAGTTAAAACACCTTTGAAATTAAAAATAACTAGCAATAATGCTCAAACAATATTTTAACATCAAGAAATTTACACTATTGTTGTAGTGATTCATATCAACTGATTTTTTTTTAAAGAAATTATTGACTTAAATAAATTTATAAATTAAATAAAATTATTCATATAGTTTTCTTTAAGAAAAAAAAAAGACTTACCTTGCAAATTTAAAAATATTGAACAAAGGAAACTGTATACATATTTATTTGAATAAATTTATGTTATTAATAACTTTATAATTAAGAATATTTTGAAAAGATTTCATATCAATTCCTTATGAATGGCAGAGATTTATCTTATAGTCATCAATAAAACTGATCTAATATCCTTCATCTCTTTAAAAAAAAATGCGAAAGGATTCTATGCATAAAATAAGCTGCAGCTTCAAAGTATTTTAAAATTTAATGGACAGAACATGTTTTCATATAATTACTACAACTTATAAAGGCATCTTTGCATTGTTCTCAGCTACAAATTTGTCTTTCATGTCTGCCATTGGAAATAAAAAAAAATTAAAAAAACTTATAAATGCAAGTTTTTTTTCATTCCAACCAATAAGTATTATTGATTTGTAGCTTTTCTTTTCTTTTTCCATACTTGCGGCAGCTCGGTAAATACAAAAATCACTAAGTCATAGAATGAAAAATTTTAATCAAATTTAATAAAGTAAGAGTTTTTCCTATTGATTTTTAACATTACTTAGTTTAAATAAATATTTATTTGATTATAAGAAAATTTATAAACAAATTATGTGATATTGTAATTACTATTTCCAGCATTATAACTATGATATGCTAAAAAAATATCTTTTAAAGAGTGATACTGTGAACCAGTGTTTACAGTGGACATATTGTTGGGTCCATAGATGATTGATCAACAGCACGGTTCAACTGCACATCAAAAACTAGTTTCTTTGCTATTAATAATGAGAAGAAAAAAAACCGCTTGTTTTTCCAGCAATATCATTATTAATAAAACTTATGCCTCGGTAAATAAAGTATAATAGTTAAAATAAAGCATACCTAAAAAAAAACAATAAAAAATATTAAATTATAATATCTACATCAAGAAAGCTGTTATGGATACTAACAAAAGGAATATGCTTGCTTCTAAATTCATCCACAAACTTCTCAGTGTCGTTCAAAGAATGTTGTTCAGAAAATCCAGTATGTAATCCAAAAGCCCAATAGGGGGGCATAACAGAAAAGCCAATAGCCTTAAAAATAAAAGACAAAAATGTCACCCTTTTATAACAAACAATGGAACAATTAATAATGTTTTAATGCATAAGATTATTTTTTAGATTTTTTAAAAATTTTAGATTTAAAGTACATAATTAAGAGGTAAAATAATAATAATTTTTTTATTTTTACATTGATCAACTTTATTTCCATCTTCAACTTAAAGATATCTTAAGTTTTATTTCTATTTTGTTGATATCAAGTAATACACTGATAAAATATTACAACTACTCACGGGTAACTAAAAAATTTATTTTCTTTAAATATCAAAAAAAAAAAAAAAAAAAAAAAAAAAAAAAAAAAAANAAAAAAAAAAAAAAAAAAAAAAAATTAAAAAAAATAGATTAACAAACAATGAATTTCAAAAAAAATTTAAATCACTGAAGCATAAAATTTTGAAATAAAGCACACCTTTCTTAAACATAACAGTTTTTAATAAACTATTTAACATTTACTTGATTTTTGTTTCTATATTTTTATTAATTCACTTTATCTCAGTGTTTTATTCAAAGATAATATTTTATTTGTAAATTGATTCAGTATAAGTGTTAATGAGTAATGTACAAAAATATATTCCTCAAACTTTTTAATATTTAAATGCAAAACAAGAATGTTTATGAAATAAATATTTTTTAAGATTAAGCAATTTCATTTTTTTAAAAATTAACTTTAAAAATGAATTCATACCACTAAATTAAATTGATAAATACAAAAACTATTTATGAAAAGTGAAAAAAAATGGTTTAAAAAATATATGTATCTATATTAGGTAGCAAAATACCAATATATTTTTTTTCTCGTTTTTAACAAAAAGATTTTTACATAAAACAATTAGTTATTTAAACTTGTAATATTTTTCACATAACTTGAAGTGAATTTGTGTAATTTAATGTGAAAAAGTTATTCATTTTATATTTTTGATATTAACATTTACCAGAATTTAATCATAAAGTTAAAAGGTTTCACATATAAAAACTGTTTCGCAACTATGAGAAAATAATTTTTTGTCTAGCTAATGCATTCAATTTGATAAACAGTTTAATGGCACATAACAAAATTACACTACAGTAATTAAACTTACAATTAGATTACAACAATAAATTTCTTTTAACAATGAAATCAAGTTAAAGCAATAAAACTTAAAGTAATTACTGCATCATAATAATAAAAATAACAATTTACTGACAGGTAATGAAGTCTATCTAATAAAACATTTACTTGAGAATTCATAGAAAATCACAAATATATTAGTCTGTACTGAATCAATTGTAAAAAGTAACCGAGAAACTTTTTATTCACTTAAATTCTTATGACTGAATTAGACAGAAAAATAAAATGGATCACACTTAAATTAGAAGATTTACATTTAACATTTTTATACCTCAGTAAATTGTTGCCTAACATCTTCAGGAGTGGGGCCTAGAAACAGGTAAAAATCTAAAACTCCACCTATGGCACGAAATGTAGCAGCAGGCAATGGGTGTAGTTGCATTTCTACAAAAAAAAAGTATTAATTATTTTATAAATAATTTATTCAGGATTGAAGATTACAATGAATATTTTAATTACAACAGATGGTTAAACATTTTTCTGTTATGCTTTCGTGCAGAGTTATTCTTTAGAAACATAATATCAGAGATAAAATTTCACTTTTAATCCATCAGATTTTTAATGCAGTCGATTTTAATACTCTTTTTGTATAATGAAGAGGCTATAATAATTTTATTAAGCATTTATTAATGAAAAGAATAAAGAAAACTATTTACAAATATACATGGAGCAGAAGCTCCTGGTGACAAATTCACTACATCGTTTTAAAAAGACAAGTGCACATTTTTTCCACACACACCATAGTTATTATTTTATGTCATGTGATCCATAATATCCAGACTCCTTTATTAGGATTGATGCCGAAAGAAGTAATCATAAGACCAAATGACGATATATTAAATCTCAAAATATTTATTAAATTGAATGGGATTTCTGCTTCATAGACATTTTACTGCATAGTATGGATTCAGTTTATAAATAAAGATTACATTTCTATTTAATCAATGATAATATATACGTGAAGTGCTTAGTTTATTATGTGAAAGAGATTATTTAAAGTTCCCATCTGTTAGAAGAACTAGTCTACAATTAAAAAGTATAAGTCTCTTTAGGTTTAGTTTTAAGATCCCTTTATTCTACTTAGTTATTATTTTAGATTATATATATATACATATAATTTAACGAGAATACCTCTTTATATAAAATAAATAATGATAATATCCTAAAGAATATGTTTTGTTTTCATCAGAAAAAAACACTAATGAAACAAATGAAAATATTTTAATATGTATATGAAAATGGATAAAAAAATCAAACTACAATTTTAAAAGAAAAAAGCCTTTTCTAAATATCTTAAACAAGGATAATTAGACTTTGTAATTTATGGGAAAAAAGGATCAAAAACTCCAAGCTCAGCCTTGTTTATACTTCATACAAGACTTTTATCTTCTTCTAAAGTCAAATTTTTATAACGATATACAAGAAAAATCATAATAAAAAAGATTACTTATACATTTTGGGGGTTGTAAGAACGTTGTCAAACTATTATCCAACACCAGTGATGCGTAATTGCCTGTGGTAATTGGTACAACTATTGTTTTAATCGGGAATAGGTGCTGCAGTAGTAGATAATACTGATATTAACGTAATAGCATAATATCCAATATTTGAGAATTTTGCAAAACGATTTTTATTTACAACAAAAATTTATTAATTGTTGTAATTAATTACAAAACAGCAATTACAACAATAACTTTTATTTACAAGAATTAGAAATAACAATTGTGAACTAAATCAGAAATTCTTAAAACAAACAAAAAAATATTAAAAAACTTTTATCGAAACTTAACAATGACTTAAACTTATAAAGAATTTGACCATTTGTACATCTGACCTTTTACATCTCTGATCAGATTACTTTTTCAACCATAGGGGCTATGAAAATTTCGTAGAAGACCTATCATACTAATAATGATCCTTAACAGAGGTAATTAATAAAGGTACTGACAACAGTAATAAGTTTTCGTACGGCCCACTCACATGGAAAAGTTCAAAAGAATTATTCAAAATATCAATAAATATGTATATTAGGAAACTTTAAACTATTTCAAAGACAAATTTAATAAGAAGTAACCAAACTGAATAAAAAATTTATTGTTACTTAAAAAATTTATGAAAATTACCTAGTATATTGCTTGTTAATAAAAGAACACCATGAGCATTACCATCTTCTTCTAAACAGAGATACATGGGATGTGATCCAGATTTAGGATTATTCTGTAATAAAACATCTTAATTATTATATAGTTAACTAAATATAGGCTACAGTCTTTATTACAACCCTTACATTGTAACATCCGATGCAAACAGTCCCATTTGTTATTCCATTGATGGAACACCATTCTAAAGTCATTTAGAAAATTCATATTGAAACATTCAATTTCAAACAACGAATTTTATCATTTGATTTAGCAAAAGTTTCTAAGAAATTATTTAAACTATTAAGTATCTTCAATTTCCTTTGAATGAGTTTATTAACTCTAAATGTAATTCAGAACTTAAATGTATCAATCCTTATACTCGAGAATATTTTAGGCTAAAACATGCAGCAAAACAGAAAAATACAAGCTTAATTTATCAATCATACAAAATAGTTTACATCAATTCTGAAATTATAGGCAAATATCCTATTGTTAATCATATTTATTCTAATGTTTTGAAAACAATATTTAAATATTATTCAGCCAAGGGCTATTTATATTTTGAAAACAAATTTACATTGATTTAAAACTATAATTAAGAAGAGTTAATAATGTATAAAGTCTTTAAAAATTACAACAATATTAATTCTAAAATAATGTTTATTAACTGTCTCAAATACAAAAGCTAACTAGACTGCTGGTTTTGAGAATTAATTTAAAAAAGAACTTTTGAAATAAAATGTCAACAACTTTAACAGTACAAAAGACTTTTATAGGTATCAAAGGTACATAACTAAATTGAAAACATTATTCAATACAGCCTTAAAGCAAAATGGGATACATTAATACTGTTGAGCGAGCAGTACAAAAATTAACCTAAACAACAAAAATTTGAAATTGAGATTTTTATATCTTTGGTGTTCTTATACGATAAGCTAAAGCAAAAAATAGAAGAGATTTCAAAATCTCTTTTTTTTTATCAAGTATCTGAAAATACTTTTTTAGCATTTACAATATTAACAAATAAAAGAAAGTAGTTTACACGCCAGTTTTCTTGAAATCTATCTTTTGTTTTTAATTGCACACTAGATAAAGAATTGAAACTCTAACGAAATACAAAAGCAAATTTTAATTTTAAAGATATGTAAGCTATAAAGTTTTTTAAGAAAAATAAAAAACTTTAAAATAAATCTATTAAACAAATACAGGCATATTTCCATAATGACACCTGTTTACTACGAATAAAATTACTAAGTCCCACTGCTCACTTGTCACATAGGTACCACTGGTGATGCATTAAAAATGTATTAAGTATAGTTGTGGCAATCACTTAGATATAATTAAAATATATTTGCTTTCCTCAAAGTGGTAACAAATTTTACCCTATTTTAAAATATGCCAATGATTTTGAAGCAAATAGTAATAAAAAAATCTCCTTCAAAATTCATATTAGTGTTCACTAAATAATTTAAAATCTATGCACAAAATTTTTAAGAATACAAACCTTTAGTTTTTAAAGAAAAAAAAAACTCCCTTATAACAATAACATTTGAAGAGGATATTTCTCTATTGTGATCTGCCATGCCAATTATAATCACCAAGACACCAATGAAATTTAAACTTGCAATTTTTTTAAAAAAAACATACAGAGGTTTGCACACGGAGGCTACGAGTTATACTGTTTGAATTGGAAGCCTTCAGTGATACTTCTTTAAGCAACTGTCGGAAAGTTGTCAAGACTCGGCAATTTTTCTGCTGCAGATCACAATAAGGAAATCTTCCCCATTTTTAAAATAAATATATGAACTTGATACTTACTTTAGAGGAAAACAAGCTGACTGTTTCCCAATTAAAATCTTCCCTATTTGTTTTAAATGAACGTTTCTTTAATCCAAATAAATTGTGTGTCGACAACCGTGTTGTTAGTTCTAAAAACTGATTGGCCATAGTAAGGGCACCTACAGATGTATCGAATCTGAAATATAAAGATATAATTAGTTATAAGAAAATATTTTGAATTCAAAGTATCAACTAAAAGGAAGTTTGCTTACATAACGGCATCAGTACTGGCTCTTCTAACTTTAACAGTAAAAGGTTTGTTGATAGTATCATACGTCACAGAATATAGAAAAACTTCAGGTTCGGCTTCAGATGTTTGTGATGATGTATGCATCGGTATATTGGGCTGTGGTACTTCATAACGATAATTTCCTGGGTCATAAAACTGTAGAAAAGAACAACAGACTGTATAAAATCAAAATTAAAAGCTTTCTTGACTTGTATGTCCCTTTATTGTCAAAAATTCAAGTATTTAGAGCGTTCAAATAGATATGGAGATAGATACCAATATTTAAAAGCAAAACAATTAATACAAAAAAATACAAATAAATATGAAGACCCATCTTTATTTTCATTCAAAATAACACTTCGACCAACTCTAATCTATTGGGAAGCTAAGCGCCGCACTAATTGTATACTATAATAATGAAACTATGCAATTTTTTCGAAATTTCAGCTGATGACAGTTTTGAGCTCTTTTTGCTTCGAAGTAAATTGTGCTTATAGCTTTCATAGATAAATGGGGAAAAAAGAAGTTGGTGATGATGTCAGTAATGAAGCCCCTCCCCTAGCACGTCGAAAACAAACTAAATTTCAATATAGCGTTATCGTTGAACCTGAACCTAAAATGACAAACTTTCAGGTGAATTTTATTTACAAAATTCTTCATTGAACTATATTAAAGGAAAGGTTTCTACAGAAAATAGTCTGTTTGATGCAATAGCACCAATTATTTTCAATTTAGAATTTGGGGGGGGGGGAGNTTGGGGGGGGGGGGGAGGATGAAAGTTGGGCATGTGTTTCGGTTTGTTATGTGATTGATTTCGAAAGGTTGTTACAATTTTTGAAGTATATTGTCTTTGAACTCCTTGTTCTGGATCTAGTTCGAAATGGGTTTTTAAGAAAATGTGTGTATTAAATTATGTGATCAATACAATGAACATAAAAATGCGTGTTTCAAAAAAGGAAGAATTCCTCTCGACTGATGTTGTTTGCTGATATGGAAAGAGTAAAAAAATTTTTCTGGAAAGGTTAGTACCCAAAATTTTGTTTTCAAAAAAGATTTTTGTCTCCTCATAAGTGATGAAACTAAAATCCCCTGTAAGCTTCCCCTTTTTTTTTCAGGGAAATAAGGATGATTTGAGGGGGAAATTAAATTTCTTCTACAAAGACGAGGTATTGTTTCGAAAATATTATTTCACGCTGAACCGAATGAAACCAATAAATACGTAACGATCGGACCAACAGTTTAGAAGTCACAATGTTGTACTTGTACCCATTTATTCATCAGACTTTGCTATCTAAACAAATGGTGCATTGCTTCCTACATATTATATAGAGTCAGTAGAAAATATAGTATATAGTCAATCCTTCCTATATAGTCAATAGAAAAATTAGTATGAAGTTACTTCGCTCCTACGTATATAAAGTACGATTTCCTGACATGCAAATAAGTATACACTTTTTAAATTGTTAATGTTCCAGGATCTGAACATGTAAGGTATATTTTTTCTGCTTCATTTTAGTATACTAAATATAATGCAACCAATCTCGAGCCTAATGTATAAGAAATTATAAAGACTAATATTAAGTTAAAAAACATAGTTTGTTCTGATAGTCTAGTAAAATTAGACATTTTAGTCGGAAAAATAATAGCGAAGATTTTGTTTTTTCATGGAAAAATTTTTATGCCATAATAAAAGGTGGCTGAAATCTCCTTTACTTTCCCCTCTAAGCCTTATACTTCTTAGAATGGAAATGGGATGATCTGGGGAGGGTATAAATTGAATATCTCTCATACAGGTAAGTGAGGCATTGTGATTGATATATTTTTTACGCTGAATTAAATAAAATCAATCATGAGACGATGCAATAGTTTAAAAGTTATAAGGATTTAATGTACAAAAAACTTTGTACTTGTACCTATTTTTGCATTAGATTTTCTTACCTAACCAAGCATTGTAAGTTTTTTTTCTTTTTTTTTAGTCTTAGGTTTCAATTTTACTTTACTTTACTATTTAGGAAATAATTCATTAAGAATTGGAATGAAAGATTTGCATATTATACGCTAATTTGAATGAGATTAAGCACGAGACAACAGGACTAATAATTCAGTAATTAAGACTAACAGTTTCTTTCAGTATCAGGTTTAAACTCTTTGTTTACTGTTTTATTTACGAAATTATGCATTATAAATTATAAAACAAAATAATATTACAATTTAGATTAAAGTTAGATGTATTCTGTATGTTAAAATAATAAAATGCCAATAAAAATTTCTCAGGCATCTATTATTTACAATTCTGATATACTTTCAACTGGAACATCGCAACGAAAATCCTAACTTCCTTCATCCACCTGCATCTCTACATCCTTTAGTAGAACACCCTATTTGCACCCCACACGAGTAGAAAATTGGATTTAAAAGGGAATCTGAAGCGGGTGGTACCTAAGTTCTTACAAGTATGTAAATTTTAGTAACCCATCCCCATTTTTCAAGATTAAAATTATGACCAAATCAAGTCTGTACTTAGTCTCAAAGCAAATAGTTGGAATAAAGAGTAAAGTTTAATACAAATTTGAAGCAATAAAAAATTAAAAAAAATTATTTGTATAATGTCAAATTAATGCATGCTTTGACTACCTAAAATAATTTTTTTTTTTTAAAAAAAACATATATAATTTTTAAACTATAGGTCCGATCGTCTCTTGATTGGTCTCATCCGATTCAGTGTAAAAAAAAATTAAAAAATACATTGTAATTAATGCCTTATACATGTATAAATGATCTTGTATGGAGGATCTCGTGCAATGCTCGTATAACAGATATTCAGTTATCTCTCTTAAATCACCTACTTTTGTCCTCAAAAAAAAGGAAGAAAAAAAAGAAGAAGAAAAAAAGAAAGAAAAGGAACATGAGAGCCACCGTTTATTACGACATAACAAAGCTTTCTGTGAAAACAAATTTTTTTTTTATATAAATTTTCCTGAAAAATGTCTAATTTTATTAGACTATAAGTAAAAAACTGTGCTTTTTATACTTATAAAAACCTTTATAATTTCTTAACTATTAATCCGAATAGGTCTTATTCAATTTAGCAGAAAAAATTGCTTCAGAAAATATACCCTTCCTTTAGATGTTCACATAGTCTCTGGCAAGCAATTTAAAAAGTGTACCTAATGCATGTCAAAAATCGTACATTTTATAGATAAAATGAAAATTAGCTTCTGAGTTATGAATTTTATTGATTCACTTATTGTCTCATTTGATTCAGCGTAAAAAAATGAATTGGAAACGATGATTCACTTGTTTAAATAGCAATATTTTATTTTAGTTTATAACCATCATTGAATAGCCGACCTAATTTTGGGTTTACGACAACTAATGTTCAATTCCTTAGCCTTGTAATTTTGAACTCAATCCGGAAGACAAGGAAACTCCTGGCTCAAGTATTGGGAGAAATTTTCCCGTCGTGGAGGACTTTTTTGGATGTAACTAACCAGCTTTTGCGTTACATGGAGAAGAAAACCACGAGAATCTCCCATGGTTAGGTTGATGGCAAAGGGACTCTAACCCATGATCCGTCTACCACTGAGGATATTTCACGTCAGCGCTGTGGTCAATGCAAGCCGGATGCTGATTCGTATCGACCAGCCATCGCAGGGATTCGAACCCGGTTCACCTCATTGAAAGATGAGCGCTCTATCCCCTGAGCCAGCGCGGCTCTGATTGAAATATTACTCATTCGTTTAAGTATATGAAATCTTATTGCAATATTCATTCACTCTCGGGGAGGTAGCTTCCTCTCAACTTTTAGCACTCACCATGCTAAAATTGGTTAATAAAATTAAAATTGTTATACTAAATAATGCTACTTGCTTTTTTTCATTATCTGATAATTTCTAAGTCGAATCCTACATCAAAATCTATATTTCATGTCAGGGCTTGCAGTTTCCCATGCAGCTGATTAAGTGCTAACCATATATGTAAAAATCATAACTAATCGCTGGAGAGAAAAATTCGGTTGCTAATGACTAGATAAAGATGCGCATGATTCAAGCTTAAAAAACATTGTTTTTGTTTGTGAAAATGACCGGATATGCATTAAAGGAATAAATAAACAATTAAATTTCCTCTAATGGCGATTGAACTCGTCTTCCAGGTTCATTTAACACTCAAAATATTTTTGTTAGTACTGCGGATGATGTAGAACGGTAAGCGAATCCACCTTAGACTGTCACGTTTCCATTCAAACCCAAGTCACGTCATAATCTACAAGCATATCAAACCTAAATCATTTGCAACAAGCCTACATTGCTTGATTAATGAAACATTATTCTAAAGTAGCGAAAAATTAAATTAAAACAAACGATGAATTTATCGTATTAATATTTACTTACTTATCAGACTAATCCGTAATTTTTTTATGGATTTTATTTTATCCAAAAAGTTTTTTTTTTAAGTGTGTGTGTGTCCATAAATGTCTCTTTAGAGCAAACAAATTGGACAAGGCTTGTGAATCTTAAGGTACAGAAACTAAGCTTTCATTCAACGTATCAAATATATCTTTATTTGGCGAGAAAAGGAGAATTGTTGCCTTTTCTCGCATTCGTTAAATCGGATAATTTATTTCGTAACATCAATATTTTAAACATACATTGTTTCTATGGGGATTTTGGAAAATATTCTATACTTTGAAATCGTCGTGATTCTGTATTCCTCTAAAATGGGATTTTATTGTATTCTTCTTGTATCAACAGTCTCGTCGGGCCAATTTTGACCCGCAGACCATGGGCGTGCTTCCCTGCTTTACAATTACTGTTATGTAAAGTAACACACATTTTGGATGCATAAGAAAAGTAAAACTTGAAATAAAACATGAATAGCTGGCACGATTATAAAGTGCTCGTACAAAGAAAGTTATATAAAAAAAGAAGAAGAAAACATTTTAACGCCTTAGATCCTGAATATATTAAAAGTAATTCACGAAAAAATAAAATATTAATTTCATTATACATTACATTTGGCACATTTTCGCTTATATAATCATTAGCAGTTATGAAATCATCGCCAAACATTGCTTCGATATTTTTATTTCCCTTTTTCAAATTATGAAATAGGTTTTATTCATGATTTATGAAACTGTATCAACAGGTGCGGCCATC